GCGTACTTACAAGCGGAAGTCGCAGCAACTTGTGCCTAAGATAAGGATGAGAATATACTGGAACTTGTTGGCAAGTAAGCTTGCTGCAGTAGGAAGGCGATAAGATTCTGTATATTGATTGCTTTGTCTTTTTGTCTGCCTCTCTCCTAGCCACTCTTTCTCCAAAACACTCTGTGCTCCAACCATCTCGATATAGATAGTCGATAGTCAACTTGTCTACTACCCACTTGCTCTGACCATCCATGATCAGATGACGGCTGGCGCTAATCGCAATCTTCAACCTCAACTCCAACACTCCTTCTCAATTGCGCCTTATCTCTTCTCTCTCTTCATCCTTCAACGTTCTTTTCCTTCCTTAGCGTCCTTGAAAATCCTTCTAGCTTGAGCTCCTCACGCGCGCCTCTGCCATGTTGCGCACTATGACGCAGCCATCTCTCTCGTTCTCGATTTCCAGTCCTTCATCCGCGTCGCGCTCTTACTGAAGCCGCATCAGGTTGCGAAGCGTCTCCAGCTTGGTTGCTTCGAAGGCCTATGTCATCAGATCCGCAATCATCAGCTCGGATCGAACGTGCTGTGCCGTGCCGCGTCGAGCGAGATCGAGCATATACTTGTGCCGCAAGTTGATGTGCTTGTCCTTAATTGAGGAGGATTTCGCCTTCGATATGGCTGATTGCTGCCGGATTGTCCAAGTGCATCAGCATAGGAACAACCGGCGCCATGCCCGCCTCTCCGAGCATCTCATGCAAGCTAATGAGCTCACGAGCGACCTCCATCGTCGAAAGGCTCACACCGCCCTGTTTCTTTGCGCTCCACAACATTAGTGCTCCCATTGAGCAGCACCACGCCTACCGTTAGCGACTTCCGGTCCGTTTATTCAGCTGCGAAGTCGGCGTCTCTGTAGGCTTCGAGCTGTAGCGCGTCACGACTCGTTCGTGTCGGCGCCATCTCGATCTTGAGCGTCGCAGTGACCTTGAGGTACCACGCGACACGCTTGGCGAGCTTCCATTCGAGCACCCGAGGAGCATGGGTCTGCCTAGTCGCTTTGTGGACTGCAAAAACAATTTCCGGCCGCGAACGCCGCGCGACCCACAGTAGGTTCCCAACGAGCGACTGGAACGCATTAATGGTCACACTACCACCTGTGCTCGACGTATCCCAGCAGCGCGACGTCTTCCTCTACCACATCGTAGCAGTCATCCCCAATCGACTGCTACGAGGTGCGCGTACTGAATCGACCAGAAACTTGTTTACGTGACCAAGGTCCTTGATAGACATCGACACAAGGCTCACAAAGAAGTTCTAGACTGTTGCGACACTTGTTCCCGTCGACAGCCGGTCGTGACGTAGACGACGACAACGAACATCTCACCGCCGTCGCGCTTGTGAAACAGACACAAGTCTGACAAGCAGCACACGTACCCCGCATCGCTGAGTCGCGCATAGAGTAACTGGCTCCAGAGGCTCCCGACTTGCTTCATCCCGTACAGGCTCCTCTTGACTTTTAATACGACCTCGTTTAGATGCGTAGCACCAATCTTGCACAGAGTGCTCTTTGACACGGTCATACCGCGTGGCACCTGCAATTATATGCCGAGGTGTGCTTCCTTCTCGGCACGCACGTATGCGTTCGGGATGTCTCCGTGCTTGGCCGGCACGCCCCACGTTGCTGCGACTCCAGCACGGCCTTTTCCGTCGAGATGTCCATCACAGCGGCAAAGGTCAGATTGTAAAAATGGATGCCGAGCACTTGCTCATTGCCGCATGCGACAAGCCTCGCCTTGTATCGCTCGAGCTCTCCGTCGGCTCCCGTCTTGGTCTTAAAGACCCACTTGGAGTGGAGAGCGTTCACTCCCGGGCTGGGCTTCGTGACGCGCGACACGTCGTTGCTCTTGAGCGCGGCGATCTTCTCTTGCATCGCTGTCTGCCACTCCACGCGCTATGTGCTGCGTATGGACTCTCCATATTTGATTGTATCGCGCTCAAAAACTACGCTAACCGCCTCATCGCTCGCATCCCACTCCTCCTTGCGTGTAGCTGATTGCTCGCACTTCGATGCGCTGCTCGTTCTGTGCACTTGTTGCGTACACAGCTTCTTGCTCTTCTTGCGAGCGCCTTCACCATCTTGCGCTGCTCCATTTCGTCGCGGATATCCACTACTGCCTCTACCGTTGGCTCTGTCCCTTCCGCTTCGTCGTCTCGATCGCCGACCTTCATCGCGTGAGTTCTGCGCATCGGACAGCCTATATATTTTCTTCACGTGTTGTGTGACATACACCTTGTTCTCTTGCTTGAAGAGGACCTTGTAGATCTTCGTCTCTTCGCAAATGGCCACGATGATGCCTGTCTGCGATCGCTGCTTCAGCAGCTCTTGCTCGGGTCGCGGTAGACGCTACACGACGATCCGAAGACGACGATTCTCCGCAGATCCGGCGCCTTGCCCGTCAGCACCTCGATTGGCGACGCTATCTTCGTGTTCGCTCGCGTTGGACTTCGGTTTAAGATGTGGACGGCGTACTGCACCGCGTTTCCCCAGAACTGCAACGGCAGCGCGCACGCAAACATCATGCTTGACGTCCCGAAATGCCACATAATGGCGTTTGTCAACTGATAGCATATGGCTTACGGATTGAATGACCATTGCACTGCTGCGGCAACGGATTTTTTGACGACTGGCGCTAAATGTCAGCAAAAAAGGAAGACCAAAGTTTAGCAGCCTTATGCGTTGCATGTTTGACCTGACGCACACACACTACGCAAAAGGTCAGCTTGACGAAAACGGCAAATTTAACGGAGCGCCGAGATTACACTTGCAAGCATCTACACAAGAGAAGACTGACTATCACTCAGTATCTTCTAGTTACTATAATTCCACAATCAAATTTGCATCATGCCTTGCTGAGCGAACCTATTACGACTGGAACTTGCGTAATACCGACGAATCCACTGTTTTCAGCAGCTGCTCGCGAGGTTTAGCACTCCTCTCTCCCTTGCCGCTAGATGCCTGGTTGCGCGCTTTCGACACTTGGCGCACGACACCCGTGCGCTTGCAAAACAAGTCAAAGTTGGCGTACTCGCCACCGCCGTCCTTTCGCAGAACGTGAACCTTGAAATCAAAGAGCTTCTCGAAATGGACGAGAAACGCTTCATACGGCTTCGCCACCGCGTCCTTCAAGCGTGCGAGGAACACACGGCAGTAGTTCGACTTATGGTATATCCTATTGGCCAAATATCGATTGCCGAGGCGATTCTGCGGCGTCATTGGGTCTTTGAGGTCCGAGCATATGACGCCGCCGATCTTGTCAATTGGCGAGTTGGCGCCGCTGTCTTTCCTCGACTACGCTTTGCGCGTCTGCTTGCCGTTGAAGCATGACACGCACGCCTTGCGCTTCTTGCTGGTCATTCGAATGCCCGACGCCGGCTGCGCTCCATACGCTCGACCGTATCGAACGCTAGATGGCGGAGTCGCTGATGGCAGTGCAGCAGCGAGGATTCGTGCACGCCGTCCGCATCATCATACATCTTATGTGCGGAGAGCGCGGCCATGAGCGCAACATTAGCGCTGTGCTTCCCGCGTGTCGCTTTTGTCTCAACGTACAGCACGTTGCTCTCGAACACGACTGTACCGTCGCTGCTCCGTGCTATTGCGCGTTTGTTGCCTTCACAAACCCTTTTCTCTACAGCTTCCCGTACGATACTTTGTTCTTCGCCAGACGCGACGCAATATCGACCTCGATCAGCGTCACATTCATCTTCATACCGCGTGCGAGGACCTTAAGGCGCACAATACCGACACACGTCAGCCGCAGTGACTTACTATCTTCCATGGCAATCTCGTGGACGCAAGAAGTTAAGTAGATATAAATCGACTCGTCGTTCACAAGGTTTCTACTCGCGCCGCTGTCGAGGATCCAGTCACCTCAATCGATTACAATCGCATCGTTTGCGGCTAGCACGAAGCCGCCCGCGTAAGTCGAGGCTTGCGCTTTGTCGCTCGCGTCGCTCGCACGAGCCTCTTTGCCTTGCAAGTTCTTATTCTTCTTTCTTTTGGCTCCTTTCGTGCGAGCCACTTCAAATTTCTCCGTAAGCGCAAGCACCATGTCGCCGCTCGTGTTTCTCGTCTTGTCGTCAAACACGACCCTTGCCTTGCAGTAGGTCACGACGCGCCACGTCCTGTCGCAGCAGAGACACGTTCGTGTGTCTTGGCGCTTCGTCTCGACATGCACCGCAACAACCTCGTATCCGACCGCGCCGCTGCCGAGTTCTATAGACTGCATTGAAATACGCGGACTCCTCAGATTGGCGCAGCTAGTCAGAACGCATCGGGTCGTACTTCGCTCGCATGACATTCATCAGCTCTGACGAATCGTGATGCACGATGTTGTTGAGAAAAAGCGAGTCGGCGCCACGCGCGCGTCGCTAACGGCTACCATGTAAAGGAGTGCTCGGCCCAGATGCGTCGCGCTTTTTTTTCGCCATGAACAGATTCATGGCCTGGCTCGCCCTGATCTTCGTCTTGAATGTTGGATCCAGCAACTCCATGAAGTGTACGAGCCTCGTCTTGTGCACCCTCCAAGTGTCGACCTGTTTGTGATAGTAGCGCTTCGCAATACCGGCCAAGAAGTGTTCAAGGAGGTCGACCTTCGTAGCACAGAGTGATTGATACCTATGCACCAGAAATAGCCGATCAAAGTGGCAAGGCATTTTCAATACGCACGCAAATTCGCCTTGATTGCGAATACGTAAATGTTCTTAAGAGTCAATAAAACATTTTTTTTCTTAGCCTAGTGTTAACTACGTCCTTCGAATCCTTACATTGTTCCCAGAGAAAGAAGTTACAAAAGTTTAGGTACCGTTGCATAGCCTTTAAAAGATCGGGCTCTCAAAAGTTATTGTCGAGGGAGCAGGTTCAAATTGACTCCGGTAAAGCCTCAAAACCTTTAGCCGGAGAGGGTAGCTCGCTCGAGTCTAAACCTTTCTGACGTGTCGCCGGTAGCTCGTTTATGTCGGAACTTATCTTCCGTTTCTCCGGCGGACGCTCTACCGAGTCGAAGCTTTCAGCTGGTAGCTCGTTTAAGTTGATACTTTCAGCTGGTAGCTCGTTCAAGTCCAAACTTTCAGTCGGTAGCTCGTTTAAGGTGATACCTTCAGCTGATAGCTCGTTCGAGCCCAAACCTTTTTGCCGTTTCGCCGGTATTTCGTTTATGTCGAAAGTTATCTTCCGTTTTGCCGGTGGACGCTTTACCGAGTCGAAGCTTTCAGCTGGTAGCTCGTTTAAGTTGATACCTTCAGCTGGTAACTCGTTCAAGTTCAAACTTTCAGTCGGTAGCTCGTTTAAGGTGTTACTTTCAGCCGGTAGCGCATTCAAGTTGAGGCCTTTTTGTCGTTCCGCCGTTGGATGCTCTTCCGAGACGAAACTTTCAACCGGTAGCTTGCTCACTGGTGCTTCTGGTCGCGCTTTTGCTTCTGCTAGTGCTTCTGGTCGTGCTTCTGGTCGTGCTTCTGGCCGTGATTCTAATCGTGCTTCTGATGGTACTTCTGGTGGTGCTTCTGATAGTACTTCTGGTGAGGCTTCTAATGGGGCTTCCGCTTCTGCTAGTGCTTCTGGTGATGCCTCTGCTAGTGCTTCTGGTGGTGCTTCTGCTAGTGCTTCTAGTGGGGCTTCTGGTGAGGCATCTGGTGGAGCTTCTTTTAGTGCTGATGCTGGTGCTGCCGGTGCTAGTGCTACTTCTGGTGCTAATGCTGGCGCTGATGTTGATGCTGGCGCTGATGTTGATGCTGACGGTGCTGGTGCTACTGCTGGTGCTAATGCTGGCGCTGATGTTGATGCTGCCGGTGCTGGTGCTACTGCTGGCGCTGATGTTGATGCTGCCGGTGCTGGTGCTACTGCTGGCGCTGATGTTGATGCTGATGTTGATGCTATTGCTGATGCTGCTGGTGGTGCTGGTGTTGATATTGGTGGACGCTCTTCCAGGTCATAATTCTGCGGTTTCGAAGGTTTCGGCGATCGCTTTTTCAAAGCTTTTTGCAGTTTCAAAGGTTTCGGCAATCTTTTTTTCGCTGATGTTGATGCTGATGCTGCCGGTGCTGGTGCTACTGCTGGCGCTGATGTTGATGCTGCCGGTGCTGGTGCTACTGCTGGCGCTGATGTTGATGCTGATGTTGATGCTATTGCTGATGCTGCTGGTGGTGCTGGTGTTGATATTGGTGGACGCTCTTCCAGGTCATAATTCTGCGGTTTCGAAGGTTTCGGCGATCGCTTTTTCAAAGCTTTTTGCAGTTTCAAAGGTTTCGGCAATCTTTTTTCGAATCCTTTTGCACTTTCGGAAGTTTTTGCAATCCTGTTTCCAAAAATTCTTGCAGTCTTTGTAGGATAGGTATCTTCCCCATGCTTGTGTCATCTAGATCATCCTTGCTCTTCCTCCCCTTACTTACGTTGATTGCATCGATTGCTTTGATTCTGTCGTCTAAAACATCCACAAAAGCATCCTTGCTTTCGAAATACGATAACAGTACGTCAAGCATCACCTTATCTGCCTTTTCCGGGTTACGGTATCGATCCCGGACGACTTTAACCCACTTGAAAAAGACCGGGCTTTTCAAAGGGTTGTCTTTCGTCTTGTGGAGCTGCAAAAGGTCGAAAACCTCTCTGTCAGATATGTTGTCGATGTAACGGGGCGAGCCCGTTACATAATATTGACACTTATATGAAGTGTCAACAAAAATATTATTATAACTAATAATATTTTGACAATATTACCTTCTCTTATAATATTGTTCCTAGATCTCCTTGAAGTTGGAGATGCCCTCTCATTGGTTGATATGGGCCATCATATCAACCAACGCGCTGACCAATGACCGATGGACGCGCGCAATGAGTAGAGGGCAAGTTGTCAACATACATAGTTGTAGTTTAATATAGTTAACATAGGTTATAACAGATTAGTTTTATTAAGATAGTTAACTATATTAAATACAGTTTTCTTTTCCTCTACTTCTAAGCGTTTGTTTAGAAGTAAAGCTTCCTCTGCCTCTTGTGTAGGAGAGGTAATTGAGGCACCTGCTTTCACTGTAATCAGTGAAAGTAGACTATACTGTAATCAGTATAGTCGGAGGGTGCCCCATTACACCTGGTAGCACTTCGTGGTCCGTTCAGCGACCACCGCACCACCCGCTATGGAATCAGCGGGTGATGAACGTCATCACGCAACGCGTGATGATTTCCGCCATTTGAGTGACCTCAAATGGAATGCGGTTCAGCGTATGGCTGAAACCATTGGCAACCCTGCCGTTGGTGCCATGTTGCTCTTTCTTAGCGGAGACGACCAACATGCAACCATCGCCAAGTTCATACAACATGAACTTGACGAAGTTGTAAAGAAACTCACCTTGCTAGAGAAGCAAGGTTCTCAACAGGTTGAACTGTTGAGAGAACAAGGCGCTCAACAAGCTGACTTGTTGATGCAGCAGGATGCTCAACAGTCTGAACTGTTGAGACAACAGCAGGCTAGTGCTGTTGCTGCCGGGTCGACGTATGAACGTCGACCCGAGTCCTTGAAGATTGATGTCTCCAAGTACAAGGCAGTCGAAAGCGACTCCTTGTTGAGATGGTTCGTCGAGCTCGACGATGCCATTGAGGCTCGTCGCATCGATGACGATGCGATGAAGGTCAAGTTCGCCATGTCAAACTTGGATGGACGTGCCAAAGCTTGGGCTCGAGGGCTCAAACTGCACGACCCATACGTTTTCCCAACGTATGACGTCTTCAAGGCGCGGCTCAAACACACGTTTGAACCGCCTCGCGCCGAATTCAGGGCTCGGGCTGAGCTCCTGAATTTGAAACAGGGTAAGCGTGATATACACGCTTACGCCCAACACGTACGATACCTCGTTAGCTGTATCGTACTGAACCCAATCGATGAACACACGCAGGTTACTGTGTTCATCAAGGGTACGACAAATGGTCCTGTCAAGACCCACCTGTTCCGCTTGGAACTAGAATCGCTGGATCAAGCGATCTCTGCAGCGGAACAGGAGGACTTTAGCCTGCAACAGGCTCACGTCCACTCGGGGTCCTATCGTCCACCGAGACGACAGGAGGGCGGAGGTCCAGAACCAATGGACCTCTCCTATGTAGAGAGCGAGCGACCTCGCTCTCCAGGGTACAAGCGATTGCAAAAGTGCAATCGCTGTCAGAAGCTGGGCCACTACGCTTATGAGTGTAGGGCCCCACGCCCAGTGTCTCGTAACACTGGGAGTGACGATCGACCGTCTGCCAAGAAGGGCCAGAGACGTGGGTCCCACGTTGCTGCGAAATCGCAACAACGTGGTGGACCATCAAAAAACGGTCGGGGTCAGTAGGGGCGGAGCGCCCTACTGATCCAGCAACGTCAAGAGAGTTCGCGGGACTCTTGACGAAGGTTGCTCCCAACACACAGTCACTGTGTGTTGCCGCTCCCAGTGATGAGGTATCCCTCATCACATTGAAGATCGAAGTGACAAAGAACATGTCACTTCGCGCCCTAGTTGATTGTGGGGCTTCGAACAACTTTGTTCGACGCCAATCGCTAGATGATCGTAGGCTCAAATATGTTACAATAAAGAAACGTGTAGTGGGAATTCACTACACGCTTAAAGGCAAAAAGTACAATGATGATTTCATCGTACTTGATCTGGATGACAAATTTGATGTCATCCTAGGATTACCATGGCTCAGAAGGTACGAGCCATGGGTCAGCTGGCAGCATCAAACCGTGAAGATGCCTGCCGCTTGTTCATCAGATGGCCATCTGATGAATGTCTTGGAGCGTTCACAAGCGTGTGAATGTACTACGAGTGAGTGTGATGGCCTCACTTGTGGTTCGGTCGTTAGTACGACTGCACAAGAACTCAGCGTGACAGACAGTCACGCTGTGGAACAAGCTGCCGGCGGCTGTGCACAAGCACAGGCAGCGCCGAAGGTCCACCACTCGAATAAGTCGAGTGGACCGGGACATGAATGCTCGCCTAGAGGGCAGCATTCACCGAAGAGTAAACCGGTTGCCCAGAAGCGGCAACACGGTAATCCTAGATCAACTGGAGAGTTGATCGTAGAGGATCTCGCTGTGGTTGCGCCACCACAGCTAAAGGAAGTCGATGGAACAGGTTCCATCGAGCCTGCGGGAATAAGTCCCCAGGAAATAATCACTGAGGGAATAAGTCCCCAGTGCCCTGAGGGAATAAGTCCCCAGGAAGTAACCGAGACGTTAAACGTCTTGGTTAATGACGGATCAAACGTAGGCGCTTATATGTTTGATCTGATCGCGCCTCCGAAGTTAACTTCGGAGATAACTCAGTTGCCTACGCTAGAACCTAAAAGGTTCTTGCGTGATCTGCGTAGTGGCAAAGTCAAGCAGATCTGTGTGCTCGTCGCAGAGGACGAGTACATGACTCACATTCGGTCAGCAACATTTTTTGCCGAGAACGAACGGGTTCTCAGCATCTCCCCAATGGACGAAAGTGTCCTTGTTGAGAAGACTCGAATTGAACGATATACATCGCAATCCTGGGAGTCGCTGAAGTCAAATCCTTTGTACAAGGATTTGGTCGAATTCAAGGATGTATTCCCTGAATCCGTTCCGTGCGAGTTACCTAAGGATAAAGGTACTCGACACGAGATCGAATTTGTTCCTGGCACAAAATATTGTGTCATGAAGCAGTGTCCACTGCCTCGGGAACAGGTCGAGGCGATCGACAAGTTCTTTGCCGATCGCCTAGCAGCGGGCCATGTGAGGGAGTCAACTTCACCTCACATCTCTCCGACCTTCTGTGTGCGTAAGGCCACAGGAGGGTGGCGGATAGTGCACGCGTTCAACAAGTTGAACGCTGCAACGATACCGGCGCAAACGCCGATACCGAGAAAGGACGTAATCATAGATGGTATGTCTAAGAGTACCATCTTTTCGTCCATGGATCTGATGGATGGTTTCTATCAGATCCTAATACGTGAACGGGACATCCCGTACACAGCAGTGAGCACTCCCAGTGGTATGCTCTGGAAATGGTTGATGATGCCGCAAGGGCTCAGTAATGCACCAGACACATTCAATAGATGTGTCTCACATCTATTGAGACCGGTGCGCGAATTCGCACCGAGTTACTTCGATGATGTGTTCGTCCATAGTCGGGCTATGGACGGGAAAACAGACGTGAAAGTCCATAGACTCCACGTCCGTAAGGTTCTTACACTTATGCGAGAGCATAAGTTGTACGCCAACCTCAAGAAGTGTATATTCGCAGCTAGCGAAATACCACTTCTATAGTGCATCGTCGGAAAGAACGGCGTACGCCATGATCCAAAAAAGATCAAGGCGATCACCGACTGGCCAGTGCCAGTCGATGTCAAGGGACTAAGGAAGTTCCTTGGGCTAGCGGCGTACTTGCACAAGTACTCGCGCAATTACGCCGAAATGACAGTACATCTTTTTTGTTTACTCAAGAAAAATGTAAAGTGGAATTGGAACGCTGATTGTCAGCGTTCCTTTGAACGTATCAAGCAAAGCTTGATGCAATCGCCAGTGTTGGCGATTGCCGATCAAGACAGACCATTTCATGTGGTCTGTGACGCCAGTGATTTTGCAATCGGCTGCGCACTGATGCAATATGATACAGACGGCGCCGAGCGTGTCGTCTGTTATCAATCGCGGCAGCTGCAACCGGCTGAGCGCAATTACCCGGTGCATGACAAGGAACTCCTTGCCATGAAGTATGCACTGGCTAAGTTTCGCGTCTATCTCTTAGGAGATAGACCGTTCATTGTATATACAGACCATGCGTCACTACGCACGGCTGTAAATAGTCCACACCTCTCGCAACGAATGGCGAGATGGTTGTCATTCTTCGCGGAGTACAACTTCTCCGTGGAGTATAAGCCGGGACGACTTAACGTCGTCGCCGATGCTCTCTCACGTCGGCCTGACCTAGAGCCGACTGTGCAATCCGACAGTGATGTGAACACCACTGTCGCCACGCTGAGTACCAGCGTCTTGTCGTCGAGTTTACTCGACGACATTAGAATGGCATGCGCACAAGATAATGATCTTGTACGCCTGATGAAGTACCTCAAGGACCCATCCACGCAAGCTAAGAAGAGCTTGCCTGCCATGTATCGATCTTCTCTAGATCGATATACCCAGCGGGACGGCTTACTGTACTACACAGCCGTCAACAACGACACGCCTCGTGTCGTTGTACCGCCACAACATGATCTCAGGTTACGGATCATGTTTGAATGTGACGATGCACCAATAAGTGGGCATCGCGGCCGTGAGAAAACTTACCTCACGGTCAGTCGCGACTTTTACTGGCCACGCCAGTATAAGTTTGCGCGCAAGTACGTGCGTGCTTGCGAGGTGTGTCAACGAGTGAAGCCTAGTCCTTCACTCCGTGCACCATTGCAGCCTCTACCTGTTCCGGCAGAGTGCTGGGAGTCCGTATCAATGGACTTCGTCTTTGGGTTTCCCAAAGACGCTCACGGGAATAATGGTATTCTCGTGTTTGTAGACAGTTTCAGCAAGATGGTACATCTTGTTGCTGTACCTGAGTCGATCACAGCAGAGGGCTGTGCTCGAGTGTTTATCGATACAATCTTTCGATAGCACGGTTTACCCCGTGAACTTGTGTCCGATAGGGACCCCCGGTTCACGGCTGAGATTTGGCGTTCCGTGTTCCAAACACTTGGAACACGGCTCACAATGTCTACTTCTGACCATCCAGAAACCGATGGTCAGACTGAACGCGCCAATCGCGTCCTCGAAGAGATTCTTCGAGGGTACGTCCACTCGTTTACGAGTTGAAGTGAGTTCTTGTCGATGGTCGAATTCGCCATCAACAACTCCGTGCATGCGTCTACGACGCATACACCGTTCTACGTGAATGGCCTTCGCCATTCACGTGTCCCCACCTTAGTAGAAGGTGACTCTAATTCAAGAGGGGGAGGAACTCGCTCGAGCGAGAACCAATCTGGCTCTTGCTCATCACGCGACGACGTTATGGTCGACACGAAAGTAACCGAAGTCGTACCATTCGACTTCAGTGAAGAGGAAGAAAGTAAGAGCGATGACGCTCTTACTGACAACGATGCTGAAGATATCAGCATCGTTCGAGGTATCACAAGTGAGAACAGTAATGTTCTCACTGCATTAGTAACCGATATCTCTGCAGTGCATTCACAATGCACTGAAGCCAAAAGCAACGAGTCAGCTGAGGATTTCCTGCTGACTCGTGAAGCGGTAGTCCGTTTCGTGCAAGACTCCATCGCGGAAGCGGTGGATAAGCAAAAGCGAAACGCAGACAATAATGGAAGGGCAAATTCTCAAACATTTATTGAAGGTGATTTAATTTTACTGTCAACAGTAAACCTACCTAAACATGTAGTGACTAACGTGGGCAGCAATAAATTGTTGCCCAAGTACATCGGCCCGTTTCGTGTATTGCGCCGCCTAGGCAACGCATACACGATCGAGTTGCCACGCAGGATGCGTACGCATCCTACGTTTTACGTGGGACGTCTTCGTCCGTACGTTCAGTACGCGGCTTCTTCGAACGACGAAGATAGCCATTACTCTCAAGAATCCCCTTCATATTCTTGTTGTCACGAACCAGATTCGATATCTGGTCGTGTAGAGATGAGATCTTCCCATGATATTGGACGATCTCCTGACGAGCTGTCGCCAGCTCGTTACTCAGAGAAAGAAGCAGCCGTTCATTCTCCAATAGTGCGACAGCATTGTTTGCCCGAGACCTCTCATGGTCAAACCCAAGCTGTCGCACAATGTCCTCTAAGCGGCGACGCTTATCTCGTTCGTGATCAACATCACAACGGAGCTCACGAGTTACACGGGCAAACCCGTCTAACTCAGCAGCCAAGTCCGATGAAAGAATCGGACAGGGTTTTCCCTACACCACCGCATCCGCTGGTGGACTCCCATGGTGGGAAGCGCTTCCTCGTGGAACGCTTACTAAAGCACCGCGAGGTGAAGGGACGTCGGACGAGTTATCTCGTCCGGTGGCGTGGCTATCCGCCTTCGGCGGATAGCTGGGAACCTCGGGCCCAACTGATAGCCGACGTTCCCGGCCTTGTCGAACAGTACGACAAGGGGCACCCGATGGTGAAGGACCATCGGAAAACGAGCTCCCAGCGCGCTCGTAAAGGGATTGCAAAGTAGCAATCCCTTCACGCATTTCGGAAGAGATGCGAGCCCTCCACCAGGGATCAGTAAGGAGGTACGCCTCCTTAGGCGCTTTTGACGAGGTGCTCAGGCACCCCGGGCATTGGTCGCCCCAAGAGAGGCATAACAGGCCTGCCTCTCTAGATAACCGGTGCAAACGATAGCATGCACCGGAAGTACTTCGTTTCTCAAACTTATTGCGGCTAGCATAAAGTCTTTGAAACCAAGCCTCTTTCCCAACGTTTAAAACGTTGGTGATAAACGCGTTCCAAGATTGGAGGAACGCGTCAGCCTCACGCTTCTTGTGTGGGCCATACCATCGATGTTCAAGGAACACATCGATGTAATAATCGTTCTCAGTGCGAAAGTTCTTCGCACTGGCGTCAAGGCCGTGAAGCTTTGACGCATCAAACAACGGTATGGAGAACCGTTCGTTGGTCTTTCCAGACCAACGATCAAGCAGATGCTTAGGTAGCATCCATGGCTTGCGATCAGGAGCAAGACGCAATACGTTGCGGTCTAAAGCCTCCTGCATGGTGTCAACAGAAGTACCGACACCACGAGCATTAGTGTCAACAGAAGTACCGACACTATGATTATTGATGTCAGTAGAAGCACTGACATCACCCTTACGGTCCCCACCCGAGTCACTATCCTTCGACTCGTTTGGCGAGTCGTCTGATTCATCAGACGACCCGAACATTTCACGGTACATTGATTCACTCAATGTACCACGATCCCTCTTCGTAGCATTAGACGACGAGGTGTCACCCCGGGGAGAGCCCGGGAGTGGAATAGGTGACTTTGAGCCGGATGCGTCATCCGACTCACCTGAGTAGTCAACGACTAACTCTGGGTCAACATCTTCACGTGGCGAAGCGCTACGTGAACCTGCAACAGGCGTTGCAGGCTGATGTTGACTTCCAGCAGACACATTAGTGTCTGCTGGCTGAGGCTGTGAAGCCTCAGTAGCGGCTGCACACAGGCGTGCAGCCGAGCTCTTGGCTGCCTTAGCAGCGACGCGCATTGACTTTGTCATAGCCTAATTGTTGAATGAAAGAAAATTCAACAAGTTCTCCTTTCCCATAGTCACTAAACAGTCACTAATGTGACTGTTGGTTGAGGGGGAGTGATGTAACGGGGCGAGCCCGTTACATAATATTGACACTTATATGAAGTGTCAACAAAAATATTATTATAACTAATAATATTTTGACAATATTACCTTCTCTTATAATATTGTTCCTAGATCTCCTTGAAGTTGGAGATGCCCTCTCATTGGTTGATATGGGCCATCATATCAACCAACGCGCTGACCAATGACCGATGGACGCGCGCAATGAGTAGAGGGCAAGTTGTCAACATACATAGTTGTAGTTTAATATAGTTAACATAGGTTATAACAGATTAGTTTTATTAAGATAGTTAACTATATTAAATACAGTTTTCTTTTCCTCTACTTCTAAGCGTTTGTTTAGAAGTAAAGCTTCCTCTGCCTCTTGTGTAGGAGAGGTAATTGAGGCACCTGCTTTCACTGTAATCAGTGAAAGTAGACTATACTGTAATCAGTATAGTCGGAGGGTGCCCCATTACAGTCGTCGTGGACCCACTTCGCGATTCGATAGTCCAGCAAACTTCTTGCGAGGTGTTTCGACGGACCAATACCCGATTTTGCTCCCACAACTAGAAAATCGGTCAGATCATCGCCCTTGTAATGTTTTTCCAAAACGTTTAACATCTTCTTATTACGTTTGTTCCTGGCTTTTTTGTTAGTGCTCGCATTGCTTTTGGCCTTAAGGACGGAGTATTTGGTCTTTACGAAAGCGAGCCACTGGGAAAAGATTGGGTTTGTGAAAGGATTCTTTTTTGGCTGATCGAGCTGCAAAAGCTTAAATACATCTGCCTGACTTTGCCCGTCCTTTATCCACTTCTTGATCTGAGAGGCTAGCAGTTTTTTAGCTTCCCCTTCCTTACCGACTTTATTCTTTTTCAAAACTAAAGCACTGGCGAGAGCATGATCGTTCTTCAACTTATGTGCTACTAGCTCGAATATCGCCTTGTCTACCACATGTATTGAAGTTTCGTACAATTCCGCCAACGATATCCTGAATTGGGCTAGCCAGCTGTTTGTTAACTTGTCGGGGGTGAGTTTAAAAACCCTTACCTTGACATTATTAAATAGCGATAGCTTGTCTTGCTTATCCAAACCTTCAAGTGATTCAAACATATCTGATTGAAAGCTCTTCAAGATGTCGCCAATATCCTTTGTTCTCTCTTCAAGTGTGTCGTCAAAATTACTTGATCTCATGCTCACGTTTAAGTCAAAATGAGTAGTATTCAATGAAGCATAGTCGTAGGTGGTGCGCATGGTATCCTCACGCATCGCGGAGGCCACACTCACAGCCGACCATGCGACCAGCGCGAAAAAAACAAGCAGCATCATCGTGAGTTATGCTTGACGTCAGTGTGCAGTGGTCTGGCAGGCAAAAAATGTAAAGTGGGGAGCTGTATGTGACCTCGATTGGCTGCCGGAACGTTGAATTGTTGGAAGGCCAGACATCAATAACCCGCCTGGCTATTCTGCACTGAGGGTATTATCCTTTATCGCCTTTTCTAGCTGTACCACGGAAGTATCTCAAGGGATTGAGCACATCGCGAGCCGTACCCTTATCGACAATACGTAGGACATAAAACATGTCGAGAATAATTAGCACGCGCTAAGGCAGCTAAAAAGACGACGTCGTCAGCTCTAAAGCGCCGCGTTTCATGTGTACAAGTCTGCGGACGGCGACGTACGTGTAAGCGAGTGTTGTGACCGTTGTAGCTCTGCACGGAATGCTGGACGGAGGGCTGGAAGAAACGCTGGATGTACGACAGACCTTTTCTTTCTTCCGCGTAGCTCTCGTGAATTGGAGGCCTTTATATGAGATTTGAACCATACGTCCAGTATAGAACAGTTGACTGCAGGTAGTTAAAGTAGCCCCCATACCTCGCATAAAAGTCAGCCATGCACCATTCCTAAACTGTGGCTAGGGCTTTCTTTTTGCGCTGTACTATTCAAATCACACATAAACATGAAATTACAAACGACCTGACGATCTGACCGCAGATAATCGTGTAAGTCTCTAGATGGTGCTGCAGTCACAGTTGCTAACATCACACAGGTCTTGGACTTGTTCATCGCTTTGTAAATGCAATGTAGCTGCCGCTGGCATGCCAAAGTGAGCGCTGCCGGGGAAGTAAACACATCCAAACGGATCCCCTCGGTCGCTTATTGCGCCACTGATATCTGAGCTGTGTTCAAAGCCGAGTACGTGGACAAAGTTAGTGTGTCTTCATTGTTGTGATGTATCCTCTACGTTCTATGAGACAAAAAATAATAGTGGCACGCTCTGATGGTTTGCTTGCGCAATTACAGCGACGTTAGACACTACTATGTTTATGGCCGCTATTTTATATGTATATGTTATTCGATTGTGCTGGTGGCTTGCACTGGGATCCACAGTAAATCGACATCAGACACCGGTAGCAAACTCGCAAATTACTTTACGGATTGCCCATTTATATCGATTGATCATTTCTTCATCTTCACTCGAAAATTGTGATGCGACCTTCGTGCTCCGGATAGGCCAGCAGCCGCTTTTTCATCATGAAGTCGGCCACGACTTCAGGAACTTTAGCAGCCTCACGTAGAATATCTCCCTTTAGCCATGATGTGCAGCCATCGCCGCCACTAGCAACAAACTTGGACGTGGCCACGAGGAGCTCCATTTTCATGTCCACCGGCCTGCCATTGACGTCTACCATTTTAGTAATCGCTGGGGGGTCTGAATGCATGTCGATGGTCAAGCGTAGTCCAGACACATGAGGGTGCGAGCCGCTCTGCTGCGGGTATTTGCACAAATGCTGAATCAACGCGTCACGTAGGTCGCTAGCTTGAATTCGCACAAGAACAGCAGGCCGCGGAAACGGCATCTCGTGCTTCAAAATGCCGACTGTGATGTTAGACTTAGCGGAATACTCCTTGTCTCCTCGGATAAAGCCTCCATTGATAAAACCCACATCAGCGAATAATTCACTGCGTAAAGCATCTGCGACCATGTTACCTCCATTGCTTTCTCCAGCTCGCAAAAGTGCTGTTCGCGTTGACAATGAAGTTGCCAAGGTAGCCAATACACAGTCATTCTTTCCCGGATCATTTTCACTTTCCATTTGGCGCATGTATTTGTAAAGAATTTGCTGGCACGCCGGCTGCGGTGGCTGGTATGCGTTTGCAATCATACTCCATTGCGGCAAGACGACAAGTCCACGTTCGGGATATTTCGCTGACCGCTTCAATTCAAACTCGAGCTTTGCCAACCAAAGAGCGTTTTGTCCTGATTTGTGAATGAATGTATTGCCTTCGTACATTGTAAACGGGTCGTGGTCATGTCCACCAAGCACCAAATCGATGCCAGGTACTTGGCGAGCAAGTCTTTTATCCTGCGTAATCGACAAATGTGTAAGTGCCAGGATGAAGTCTGCTCCTTTAGCTTTTAAAGCGTCAACACACCGCCGAGAGGTGGAAAAAATATTCTCAAACTCGACGCTATCACCCGGAAACGACAACGTCGGGGTTTCCTCCGTGCAAACACCAAATACTCCTAACTTAAGTCCGTCTTTCAGATCAACAATTTCTGTATCCACGACACCTTCAAATAGTGCACCTGATGTCGAATCAAGCACATTGGATCCAAACCATTTCGCAGACGAGTTTCGCATGCGTGCTTTGAGTTCACATGGAAGGGGATCTACGTGATTAACTGTTATGCAGCAAGTACAATTCCTGAAATAAGCAATTGATTAAACCCGTATTAATTTATATAATTCCATATACATCAAAACATGTCAAACATATGCAAGCGCCAACCATGATTAACTAGAGTCTATAACTTCAACTATTTCAATAGATCGATGCACCTCTTGAGTACCATCGCTGCATTATTTTTCAATACACCTTGTACTCTCAAGTAACTACTTGATTAACATCATGGCTTTGGCGTTATCCGTGAACCTGAACATATTACGCAAGATATTACAATTGAGCTACTCGCGAATTTGGTAAGCTCATTGCCACAAGCTCCACACCGCAACATTGACAAGCTATCCTGGGACGAGCTGGTGTCGTTCAAAACGCATTGCGTTGCTTTCTTGAGAGATTTTACGCCACGTTGACACCGGAGTTCACTCAGAAGCTCACATCTACATGCACCGCTGCGGTTGGTTAACCATAAATGCATATCAATGTATCAGTTAAGATCATTGTGTGCCTGTCGTTCCGTAGGTCAATGTGATATGTCGTCTCGACGGGCATTGCAACGTGGTTACACGACGGTTGGAACATCATACCGAATGTTTACGATTGAAGTTTCTATCTAACTATATAATAAAAGAATACTGTCTGTCTGTCTGTTTGATCCTTTTCCGGCATTTGGATTGGCTACTTTTGCATTATTCCTAATTTTGGATTGGCTGAATATGTTTTTTGCATCGATATTAACATGAGCAGATTTCCATAACTGAATATAGTATATCCCATGTGTTCGTATCCCGTGCTTTTATATACAATACATCGACGAAATGATGGATACATACACCTAGAGGTGGTACCCATGAGTCTGGGTTGGGTAATTGCGTTTACCCACGACTCAGACATATTCAAATTTAATTACCCACGACTTGGACTCATACCCGCGGTTAATTACCCATGTTACCCGCGCAATAAACATGCAGAGTTGCGGACTATTAAACAATATATAAGGGAGAAAAACATTATGAAAATTGGTAATAAAAGTATCCACACTCTACGTCTCCCACGTGGGAAGTTCAAGCGGGCTGACAAAGGAAAAAAATTGTCCCTTGCTGACAAAGAAACGTGGCTCTGTGTCCTTATCCAATCCTTGAGGCACAAAAGCCTCTCCAAGCTTTTAAGGAAAGCGAAGTTCTGTTTTACCTGTATTTCTTCTACCTTGAGAGAAAACTCTCTCAGACGGAGTTGAAGACGCGGGGATAGCCAGATAAAATATTGCCATCCTTGCAAGTTTCGGGAATTGCAGCTGATGCAGTGCCCACCACTCCAATGGCAACTAGTATATGTGAACAGGCGAAAGAGTAAAATAAGTCTGAGCTCTCTCCTCGACTTTGCTCACTGCGGTCTATAGAACTCTGCCTTCAACAAATGCGAAGACGTCTGGCTCCATGTCGTCATCGCTCATGCGTTACTAATGTTGACAGGTGGCAGAAGCAGGATATATTTTAATGGACTTCTGATTCATGTATGCTACATCCACAAACAGCAACTCTATTGTTGGAATAAGTTGAAGAACAGTGGAAGTTGCTGGCAGTTGGCAGTGGATGGCAAGGAATGTGAATGGCAGTTGGTGTGCTTCATGGTTGACGGTATGAGAGGGGAGTCGTGCTGACGCAGAGTCCCAGGTTGTACTTGCCAACTGGAATACGTCTTAAAGAGATGTATGTTAGGACAGTAGGGCTTGTATTGTATGGTAAAATTGAACGACAGTTCCGAAATTGTATCGTGTGACACAAGTGTAAATTACAACAATTGCTTCTGGGCTATGGCCAAGAGCCCAAAATTTCTTTGGCCCTTCGTCGAGGTTTTTGAACCAGCTAATATTCCATCTTGGATCTAACACCGTCGCAAAGAAGTTTGCATCCTGCTTAAACGCCAGCTTGATATATATTTCTTGAGTTTGCTTAGCATGGCCTGCGCCACCGGCTCCAGTTGCTTTGCATCATATGTGCGGTAGACTTTCACCAAAAAAGGCGTAATGAGTCATTAATACATTAAACAATTAAAAATCAATACGAGAAGGTGTGTCTGATGTATCTCCCAAAAATTTGGTACATTTACCCATGGGTACCCATGGGTAAGTTGGTTAATTGAGGCCAATTACCCATACCCAACCCATGAGTCTGGGTATGGGTAATTACCCACTGAGTCTGAGTCTGGGTACCACCTCTACATACACCCTCCATACCCATCGGTACATACTGCTAGAGGTGGTACCCAGACTCAGACTCAGTGGGTAATTACCCATACCCAGACTCATGGGTTGGGTATGGGTAATTGGCCTCAATTAACCAACTTACCCATGGGTACCCATGGGTAAATGTACCAAATTTTTGGGAGATACATCAGACACACCTTCTCGTATTGATTTTTAATTGTTTAATGTATTAATGACTCATTACGCCTTTTTTGGTGAAAGTCTACCGCACATATGATGCAAAGCAACTGGAGCCGGTGGCGCAGGCCATGCTAAGCAAACTCAAGAAATATATATCAAGCTGGCGTTTAAGCAGGATGCAAACTTCTTTGCGACGGTGTTAGATCCAAGATGGAATATTAGCTGGTTCAAAAACCCCGACGAAGGGCCAAAGCAATTTTGGGCTCTTGGCCATAGCCCACAAGCAATCGAGCTGATTTTTGTGGAAACAGCATACAGTCACAGGTGGCGGAGGCGGGATTTGGTCATAAGAACAAATCCCGCCTCCGCGACCTGTCAACATTTGTAACGACAAGAGCGATGACGACATGGAGCCAGAAGTCTTCGCATTTGCTGAAGGCAGAGTTCTATAGACCGCAGTGAGCAAAGTCGAGGAGAGAGCTCAGACTTATTTTACTCTTTCGCCTGTTCAAATACACTAATTGCCATTGGAGTGATGAGCACTGCATCAGCTGCAATTTCCGACACTTGCAAGGATGGCAAGATTTTATTTGGCCATCCCCGCGTCTTCGGCTCCGTCTGAGAGAGTTTTCTCTCAAGGTAGAAGAAATACAGGTAAAACAGAACTTCGCTTTCCTTAAAAGCTTGGAGAGGCTTTTGTGCCTCAAGGATTGGATAAGGACACAGAGCCACGTTTCTTTGTCAGCAAGGGACAATTTTTTTCCTTTGTCAGCCCGCTTGAACTTCCCACGTGGGAGACGTAGAGTGTGGATACTTTTATTACCAATTTTCATAATGTTTTTCTCCCTTATATATTGTTTAATAGTCCGCAACTCTGCATGTTTATTGCGCGGGTAACATGGGTAATTAACCGCGGGTATGAGTCCAAGTCGTGGGTAATTAAATTTGAATATGTCTGAGTCGTGGGTAAACGCAATTACCCAACCCAGACTCATGGGTACCACCTCTACATACTGCCATATCAACACAGCATGTAGTTTAGAAGTTATATAAGGTACATGCTTTTATTCGTTTCCAAACATGGGCTTAGTACTCAAATAAAAATACTAAAAGGTTAGCAAAAGCAAGCGTTGTCAAAGAGTTGAATTGAGTTCAGTTACAATAAGCGCATTGACGAAAACGAAATGCATAACATACCAGAGTCAACCGGATATATAAAAGTAGAAAGATAAGTAAGAAGATCAAAAGGCAGCCTTCGTTTAATATATTTGTCGGAATGATGGGTATACATTGACCTGCGAAACGACAGGTTTACATTGACGGGCGTCGACAGGTACATTTTCATTTCAGACACCTTGACTTAAATACACATTGACTTCATAGGTAGCAATCACCTGATTTAACCAAATATATAAAAGTAAAGTGATAGGTCAATGTACTATCCACGTAGAATTCGCGCACCTATCTGTCGGGTCGGCGGGCACCATCAACAAATTGCACACAGGTTCAAGTAGCATCACAACAGCTAATTGATACACCAACGTTCATTCCTTTATACAATATAATAAAAAAATATATATATATATATATATATATATATATATATATATATATATATTAATTGCGCGCACATGGTCCGTCGAAACTAAGGGTACATATTCCTTGAGAAGCGCTACGTTTTATATGTTTCTATACTATTAGCGTCAACTTCCCACGAATGGCCGTCGGTACGACTGGTGAACATTCTAGCAATTTGTCAGTGTGACGGTGGAACACACTAACAGACGTAGCTGATGGAACCATGATGCAATCATTCATTGATTCACCGGGTTCAGGCATCATCGAAAAATAAATGACTGTATATTAAAGCGTTCTAGAAATTCGCTGATGTGAACCCGGTTGATTGACGGGTTTACATTGGCCTGAATACACATTGACCTCAATACCTATTTATTTTACCTGGTTAGGCAAAGTGATAAGCCAATATACTGTCAGCGTACAATTTGCGCACCTATTCGTCGGACCTTTCCGTCGCAACGATTAGGCACCCTAACTAATTTTGCACTAACGTAAACAGATTCTGTAAGCAGATTTCCATCACTGTTAGTAATATGTATTATGTTTAGCAAGTCCGTTGGAACGACGGGTGATCACCCTAGCAATTCGTTGCGATATACATACTCCTTTGTACCGTTAGAACGACGGGTAATAAATTGAAAAAATGACGAATAGAAGAGTACACATTGACCTTCATATCCATCTTTACCCTAAGTCAATCTGATTATCTAATGTATGTTGATGGGTTTACAGGTCAAAAGGCAGACCATGTTCGTCGAGACGACAGGTATACATTGACCTTCATACACATTGTCTTTATAACTAATCAATTTCCTATGTCAATATACGATCAATGTCAAATTTGTGCACCTATCGGTCGAAACGACGGGGACACCCCTATATTTGTATATATGTATCAATAGCATAACACCATGTCCGTCGGAACGACGGGTACACACCCTAGTATTGCATATAATGTATTCTTGATACTTCTCTTAAGAGAGGTATTAAGTATAA